ATAAATATTTAATGACTAAACAGTAACCTGATTAAACTTTGTTGGTTTTTTTCTTCCTCTACGAGGCATTCAATCCTGCTTTTGCATCTTAAATAAAATAAGTAGAAAAAAATAATGTGGTTTCTTAAAGAAATGAGGTCATTTAAAAATGTTATTTTCCCACCTCTGTTATTTTTTCTTAAATAGTTTACTGTCAAGCTGGTTTCCATATAACACCCAGTGCTCATCCCCACAAGTGTCCTCCTCCATGCCCATCACCCCCTTCCCCTCTCCCCCACCCCCATCAGCCCTCAGTTTGTTCTCAGCATTCAAGAGTCTCTCATGATTTGCCTCCCTCCCTCTCCCCCACTATTTTTCCCCTTCTTCTCCCACCGTGATCCTCGTTAAGTTCCTCCTAACCCACCTATATGAGCAAACATATGGTATCTGTCCTTCTCTGCCTGACTTATTCCACTCAGCATAACACCCTCGAGGTCCATCCACGTAGTTACACATGGCCAGATGTCATTCTTTCTCATTGCCATGTAGTATTCCATGGTATAGATAAACCACATCTTCTTGATCCATTCATCAGTTGATGGACACTTAGTCTCTTTCCATGATTTGGCTATTGTTGAGAGTGCTGCTATGAACATTGGGGTACATGTGCCCCTATGCATCAGCACTCCTGTATCCCTTGGGTAAATTCCCAGCAGTGCTCTCTCTCTCTCTCCCAGGAGAGTTTTATTGTTAATTTTTTGAGGAACCTGCACACTGTTGGGCCTGCACCAGTTTACATTCCCACCAACAGTGTAGGAGGGTGCCCGTTTCTCCACATCCTCACCGGGATCTAAAGTCCCCTGATTTGCTCATTTTAGCCACTCTGACTGGCATGAGGTGGTATCTCAGTGTTCCCACTTCTGTTATACTTGAAAGCACACCAGTGTCTGTTCATTTATTGTTAGACTGATTTACACATATACATTTTATATTCAAACACACACCATAAGAGGTAATTGTATAAAACTACAAAAATTCTTCTAAATTGACAAAGCTCAAGTAAATAGTTGTCATTTGATATTCATTCCTGATGATTTCACATTAAAATAGAATGGCAAATCTGACAAAAAAATAAGAGGAACATAGATTGAGTGACTCTTTATTCATATAATAATTGATTACTGTTGTGACAACATCCCACCTTTTTCACATAGTTGTGGAAAGGTTTCACTTTAAATTAATTGGCATCAACATGAAATAAATTACTTGGCTGTTTGGTTGGGAAGCAAATCAGGCCCACATTAGATATAATTAAGGTGAAACTGTTATATAGGAATTGTGTGGGTGAAGGCTAGAGATCAAATTTTTCCATGGGAAAGAAATGTGAGAAAGGCTAGTGATGAGACCAAATAGGCTGTTTTTATTTTTGAAGAGAATCTCCCCCATCTCCTCCTCCTCCTCCTCCTCCTCCTCCTCCTCTTCCTCCTCCTCCTTCTTTTTTCTTTAGAATGCAGGGTTTGTTTGTTTGTTTGGCTTGGTTTTGTTTTAGTTTTTCAACAATGATTCCTATTGATTGCTTGTGTTAGGACATACATAATTGGGAAGATGAGAAGACCAGCATCCACTTAAAGAAAAACAAAGTCAATTCAATCTAAATTTCAAGTCCAAAGAAATAGAATTGAACTATTCTTGAAATTCCAAGAAAGAAATCTAACCTTTTCTCCAAAGTTACGAATCAGAGTGCTACTATTGTTTAAAAGCTGAGATGATACCAAGTTTATAAAAAAGTATATCATAAAAAGAAACAATTTTTTTTCTCTGCCTTCATTACATCAAGAGTACTCTCATCAGGAATACTATAAACACACACACCTAGCTACTGCACCACGAAAAGTTAGGAAAACTCTAGAGAAAAGTAAAGCAATGAAGGTGAGTAGAGTGAATTCTATTTATAGACAAACTAAAAAAAGAGGCTTGGGAAGATAAAGTTTGACACAAGCTCATGTTTGCAATGCCCTATAGGTTTTAGATTTTTACAATATAGTATTAATTTTAAAAAATCTGTTGATTTTATTTTTAGGCTGAAATAGCTCCTTTCTAGGCAAATATAAGAAACCATATTTGCATAAACTTATAGGATTAAGTAATTGTTACTGATGAATTCTTACTATTTGACATTCAAATAAATTCAAAAGGCTTTTGAATAAATTCATGGATTTAGATCCACATTGGATTATCAAAGGAGATAGGGTTTTGGGGGGAATATATAATTTAATTTGTTTAGATCTGATTTAATGGAGGTCAAACATAATTGCTTCAAAATACATTGTGTAGGAACTGTCAGAAAATAGAAAACATTGTGCCTGAAAAAACTCAAATGTGAAGTTGCATCTATATCAATATCTTGTAATTTTATTACTGTTCTACTGCTCAGCTTAGTTTTTGAGAGAAGCACTTCATTTCTTAAAGCCAATGACATATTTTTAGAAAATGGCATTACACAATCATTGAATATTTAAATATTTTAAAAGGAATGTGAATGTTGTTACTCATTTTTTGGAAGTTAATCATTTTTATTTAAGAATTCCAGTCATAAAGTCACTCATCAATGGTAATTGATGAAATCAAATAACATATGGAGTGAAAGAGACATAATTAGAGTCACATGTGGAAGTTATACATCTGATATTTTACTGAAAATCCTCACTACCAAGTATTACAAAAACGTGATTTTTTAAATTCCAAACATATGCAATTGTTCCTTTTTCTGTCCTATTAAATCAGAAAGCCTACAACTATAGCTTGGGATGGAGAATTAGTGGAGAAAGTAGGAGGAAAGCATGGATTTTTAAGGCCTTTGGTTGGGACCTTATAGTGGTCATTCAGCTTCCAATTTTTCAACAAATTATTTTGACACCTAGTGTATTTTTGCTCCTTACCAATCATCTCCTACTTCTCTAGTAGGATAAGTTTGATTTGTGGGTTCCTATGCATTGTTAGAGAAAACCTGAGAGGCAGCCATTCAACATGAAATCTCACTCTGTGATAACAAGAAGAAAAGTTGCAAACTGAGTATAAAAAAGCAATTGAATATCCAGTGGAAGGAACAGTGCCTGGGTATTTGTGGATTAGTAGAGATTTAGATACCCTGGCCTCAGGGTATCTAACAGGGAAGGAGTCTACACTGCAGCTGCAGGATCAAGGGCCAATATGGCCCTATGGGAGAGGCTATCTCTCCTACTGGCTCTGCCACTTAACAGCTGTGTGATCAACAGCTGTTGATTGCCTCAACAGTTATTGAGGCAATAACTGAGATCTCGTTGTTGTGTCTAGGAGGAAATACGTGATTTTAATTTCTAAGTTTCCTTCTAACTTTTAAAGTCTTTTTCATCTCTTGGAATGATCTCCCCCGACCCCGGAATAATTTTTAAATTTCTTATTTAAATAGACAATAGATTAAGGTTGGAATTTTCAGAATAAATGGTGAAAAGTATGTAGCTATGTTCCACTAAGTGCACCTTTAAGGTGCACTGAATAAAATCAGTTTGTATTATGCTTTGCTTTAAAGAATTTGCAAATGTAAAGGGAATATTCCATTCTCATGTGCTTAAATGTTTACTTTTCATGACAAATAGAAGACCAAATTTTGTCTGTCAAATGAATACTTTGTGGAAACATGAAGTCAGTCATGCTATTTGTCCTCCATTTTTATTTTTTTAATTTTTTAATTTTTTTTAAATGTTTTATTTATTTCTAGGAGAGAGAGAGAGAGACAGCGTGAGCAGGGGAGGGTCAGAGAGAGAGGGAGACACAGAATCTGAAACAGGCTCCAGGCTCTGAGCTGGCAGTCAGCACAGAGCCCGACGCAGGGCTCGAACCCACGAACCGCGAGATCATGACCTAAGCGAAAGTTGGACGCTTAACCGACTAAGCCACCCATGCGCCCCGTCCTCCATTTTTAATGTTCAAATAATCTCCAAATTGAAGCTATTAACAAAAATAAATACATCTTTGCAAAGAAAATGGAAACATAGATCTCTTGAATATAGCTTCTCATCTTAACATAAAATTATTCACACTTATATATAGAAAGAAACAGTTTTAGGGATATATCAAAAAAATGTGTTTTGAAAATTTCTCTGAATTCCATTAACAAGTTCCAGTACTGAATGAGCGAATAGATGCTTAATTCCTTAAACTGAGTGGTTAATATTGCAATAATTTTTTGTTTTGTGACACTACTAGTATGCAGTTCATTCTATAAGGACTTATTTGTCCATTCATCCATTTTATTCCTCCCTTTTCCTTATATTCTGATAAATCTAAGAAAGTCAGTCGTCTGCACCCTCAAGACGTTTTCTACACATATGCCTATGTGATGCCATTGAATTGAACCAACTGATATATTTTGAGAAAGTTAGATCCATGGTGTTATTATCTATATGTTCACACATTCTTGCAGTTTTCTTCTTAATTAATCTAACAGCCATAGTAGTTTAGATAATCACCACATAATTATGTGGCAAATCTTGATTGAAAGGAAATAGTTGAATACACCAAATGAAGGGTTGTGTTTTGGTTCAGAATTTCTCTTTTTACAGAAGGCTTTGAATAATGTAAGTGGAATTTAAAATCACATACATGGTGCTTAACAGGCTCCCACTCAGCAACACAAAGATATATAGTTCTTGAATTCATAATGTCATGAGAATGTTCACTTATGATTTAGGAGTGTATTACATCTCTATTAACTCCTTTTTACTCTCCCAGTAGGAGATTTCTAAGTACCTGATAACATGAATAATTCTAAACAAATGACTTAAAAATTCAAGCTTTATATATTAAAAAAGTATTCTTCTGGAGTAAAAAAAAATGTGTTTTCTAAACCCTAAAAGAAACTTATATTGTTTTTGTATATTTAAAACATTTTAGCTTTGAGTATAATGATAAAGGGTTGATCTCTCTTGTCATTTGTTTCCCCCCAAATTATAACTTCATTATTAGTTTATCATTAACCTTCTCTACAAAAAAGGAAGCCATTTCTTATGATTTCCAACCTGTTGGCTATTTACCAGTTTTTTATAAATCTCTGACTTTAGAAATCGAGGAAAAGAATCCTTGGCCATAAGACTATAGATTAACTTCTGAGCCTCATCAAAACATTTGAGAGTTGGTTCTGCAATATTCTTTGAGATCAGGTCCCTGGTACTGAAGTCAATGTTGATCTGTGGAAATAAGTTTGCATATCATTACATTAACTTAATCAAGGAATACATGCTTTATACAGATGGTAGATACACACATTATTTGACTTTTTTTCCCCAAAACACAAAGTTAATCTGATGCAAAAGAGCCGAAAGGTCATACACTTATTTTCTGGAGTGTAGAACACATGTTTGGTTTCATTATTTTTCCTAGATTGAGAGGGTTGGCATTGACAGAGAACAGAGATAAAGCCTTATTTTGAGATTATAAAAAAAAAAATGGCAAGGTGAAAAATCAAACAAAATATTTCATGTTTTTAAATTTCTTTTCCCACAAATCCTTTTTTTCTCCCTAGTACTTTAATACTTATAATGTACTTTCCATAGACAGAACAATAACTAGGACTTACTAGTTTGGCTTCTACCAACCCATCCTCATTTTCATATTTCCCCTGTTGTTTTCCCACACCTCATTGCTTTTTGTTCTGATTTGTGTTTCTTTTTGTTTGCCAAAATAAAGCAAATAACATCCCCTCTTCACTCACTCTTGTGCCTTCCACAGACTAGATCTATATGTGTATGCGTGTGTGTGTGTGTGTGTGCGCGTGTGTGTGTGTATCCCTGTCCCGATATCATTACATGAGTATCCCCAGCAAGGTCTAATACAGATCTATTATACACATTCATCGGCAAATCTGTAAAATGCTCCAAACTTTCTTGTGAAGATACTTGTCCAACTCTACACAAATTCCAGGATATATTCTGTGAAGCAGAAAATTTCATATCCAAGTTTTCTAATTTAAATGGTAAATATTCATGAAGTACAAAAGAGATTTGAATCATGGAATTAAAAACTCATGAAAGGCTGTATCTATCTTATTCATCTTTCTATTTTCTTTTACTTAGCAAAATATCTGCCGTATAATAGGAAATCAATAAATATTAGTTGAATAGAATTAAAGTGTCTCTTGGCAAAATGGGGGAGATTCTAAAAATGCCATAATTTGGAGTTCTGGTAAAAGATATTCTATAAATGATAATTTTTGCTTATTAAATGGAGATTAAAAGAGGCGGACAGACCTATAATCAAATCTTTCTTCAGCTACTTATTTGCTATTCATATGAATGAAGCAAGTTCTAGAATTTCTTTTAATCTTTGATTTCCATGGTATAAAAGGGAAGAGTAATAGCACCTATCTTAAAGTGTTTCAAGACTAAATGAGATAAGTGATATCAAAATATTTTAATATTGTTGTTCTAGGAAGAAGAAAAGAAGAAAAACTTTTAATTTGAAAAGAACTATGAAAAGGCCACTATTTGTTCACAAACGTTATCTTCCTTGAAAGATTTCCCACATCTGTACTTTTATTTCTCTGATCATCCTTTTACATCATCCATCAAAGTTCCAGGTTCAATGCTACAACTCCCTGAAGATCTCAAAACTTAGAATCAATTTCTTCTTCATTATACAAGAAGATGTTGCAGGACAGTGGAAAGACTTTGGGATAATTTTCTCATCTTTGCTTTAACACTTAGGATCTTTGATGATCAGAGGTAAGTTATTTTAATAATTCCGAGCTCTATTTCTTTATGTTTAAGCTAGGTAGTCTTAACTGAGTTGTTATAAGAAATGAAATGATCCGTATATTTAACAAATATTTATGAGTATCTATTATGCACAAAATGCTTTCTATACTTGGGAAAAGATAAGCAACAACAAAATAAATAGTATTACTTTAGATTTAAACTTGAAGGATGAGAAGAAGCAAGTCTTCCAAGAATCTGGGAAAAAAACATTTCTGCCAGAAAAAACAAAAGCAAAGTCCCTGATGCAAGAATTTGTTATGTTCTGAAAAGCTGCTATGCCTGGATAGCTGGAGTATAGGGTGTGAGAAAGAAAGTTCCTATAATGAGAGTTGCCTACAAGTCTTGTAGGGCTTCCGTGAAGTGTAAAGAGTTTTTATTTTTCTTCTAGAAGCAATAGGAATACACTGAAGAATTTTAAGGAGGGAAGTGACATGATGACATGTTGTGAACCTAGTATACTGCCTGCCTCATAGTGGGGACCAGTAAATGGTGGCCGGTGTTAAGCTCTTACAGTGGTTTTTAAACATCTAGAGTAGTATGTTTCATCAATCTTATCTTGTGTTGTGGGGGTTTAAGAATAAATATTGTCTGTTTCCTCCTTTAGCTATGCTGTTAATTGTTTAATGGCATCATCTACAATATGTTTAACTTTGTATCCACCATAATAGTAAATATAGCAATTCAACTCACTGGGGCATTCATTCATTGGCTGAGTTTTCACTGACAGCAGGGCTGGTGTGTGCCTGGTACACAGTGCTGGCTTATTATTTTAATCAGAACTGAACACTGGCAGTAACTCCCCATTTCCTATTTAAAAACTCCAAAGCCTTGATTTTGGCATTCATGGACTTTACAACATAGTCCTACTTTATACATTTTTTTCTCCTCTAGGTATGTCCTGTATTTTTACCAAGCTAGACACTTCCTTTCAAATTCCTTGTATTTTCCCACCTACGAACATTTTGTTTCATACCATCCTAGTCTAGCTGAAAGTCACCCTTTTCACTGTCTTCTATGTTTGTAAGGCTACATTCAAGTAATATTGACCCTGTGTTACTTAGGCCATATTTACATTTTGTGTATCCCTTTCTGTGCCTTACATACCAATAAATAAGTACTGAATAAATAAGGTGAAAAAAATGTTTCTATATCTATTAAAAATCATGCCTAAATTTTGAAAATAACTATTCCGGGGCACCTGGGTGGCTTAGTTGGTTAAGCATCCGACTTTCACTTAGGTCATGATCTCACGGTTCATGGGTTCGAGCCCCGCGTCGGGCTCTGTGCTGACTGCCAGCTCAGAGCCTGGAGCCTATTTCGGAGTCTGTGTCTCCCTCTCTCTGACCCTCCCCTGCTCACGCTGTCTCTCTCTCTCTCTCTCTCTCTCTCCTAGAAATAAATAAAAATATCAAAAAAAAAAAAAGAAAATAACTATTCCATTCAGCATAATACCAATAATTAGTGATATTTATTAAAATAGGTTAAGCTTGTACTTCTGATTTATCTCTCTCATTTTTCTGACTTGTCTGTGTTCCTACCAAGGAGCTGCCAACATCCGCTATGATAGCTGAGTGATGAGCAGATACACTAATCCCAGGAGATAATTAATAGTCTTATGAGGCTGTGTCTTGGCAATTCAGCTTAATGTCAGTGACAAAACATCACACCCACATGTTTGTATAAATGTCATTATTTTCCTCCAAGTTCTTCAAACTTGAAACATAGGAATCATCTCTGACACTTCTTTTTTCTTTGATCTGTCTCTATTTTTCCCCCCTCATTTGCCTTTTATTTTGTAATATCATAATGGTCCTTTTCACTCCTATTTCTCCAGTTTAGTCTTTTATAATGGAATTTCTTTCCTAAATTATGAAATTTACCTCTAGTCTGATACCTCTTCTTATAATGTCTTTTCTTTCCCTTCTGAACATGTGAAAGTATAACTGCATTAGTTTCAACAAAACATCACTTTCATTGTATGAATATTCAGCTGAAAATCTCTTATATTTAGTAACATAAGCTGTAAATATCTAACCTTGGCATTTGAGCTCCCTCACACCCAGAGATCAATGTGTTGTTTCAAAATCTCCTACTTGTCCTTAGCAATATCTATATAACTGGTTTACTTTCCTTTCTGTTCCCTAAATTACTCTTATACATAAAGCTCTTGTTTGTACTGTTTTCAACTTCTAAAATCCCTTTCACCCCCTTGATTTTATTCTGTACAGATTTTCCTTATCTTTTATGATTTAGCTTAAGTTGAATATCCTCTGGGAAGCCTTCCTTAGCCACAGAAGGAAAGTCACTATAATTTCCTTATCATTACAAATTTCTTTGATTTAAAGTTTTTAAGGGATTTGATTTCTTGATTAAACAGATTTAAATACAAAGGCTTCTATTAATATTAAGTATTCAATTTGAATATTAGAGAAAGAAGATTTGTCACTACAAAGGGAATTCAATAGTTCATGACATGGAATTAACTTGTTTTGTATCTGTTGTCTTTTCCCTATTTATTTTGCTCATTTCCTTTTTCTCTGCATGCCCCTCAAAATATGCGTTCTTTCAGTGCTATACTGTCTTTTCTCTCTAGATGTTTTCCTTGGTTACTCTGTTTTCTTCCCTGGCAAAATATTTGGACACTGCCATTATCTCTAAAATAATCATAATGATGTTTAAATATGATTATTTTAACTGAAAATAATGTTATTATTGATTATATATTACTACTGACTGGGGTGCCTGCGTGGCTTGGTTAGTTGAATGTCCAACTTTGGCTCAGGTCATGGTTTTGTGGTTCATGAGTTCAAGCCCCTGTTGGGCTCTATGCTGACAGCTCAGAACCTGAAACCTGCTTCGAATTCTGTGTCTCTGTCTGTTTGCTCTTCCCATGCGCTCTCTCTCTCTCTCTCTCTCTCTCTCAAAACTAAATAAATATTAAAAAAGAAAATATTAGTACTGATATAATAAACCTTTATATGGCTACCTCATGTCACCTACACACAATTATAAAATATACAGTATTATTATCCTCGTTTTTCTGGGAGAAAAAACTAATATATTTCTGAATAAGCACATTTCATTTGTAGTCTTTCCTAGAATTTATTTATTTAAAATATTTTATTGAGTGGGTGCTTAGAAGTTGTGTGAAGGATCCGAAGAGATGATTAAAGTGAAAAGTCAATCAAGAAGTCAGATTTTGAAAAATCAGTTCAAAGGAAATGAGATTTTAAGCAAATCTTTGAAAGTATTATCATGAATAGAGATTAAGGAAAGTACTTGCAGATAGGTGGGTAAACCAAAAGAAGCCCAGGGGGTTTGAGAGGAGGAAAGACAAGAACCTGAGAGGCATGAAGGTACTAGATCGTATGGGACCTTGTAGCTCTTGTTAAAAAATTTTTACATAACCTGAGAGTAAGGAGAAGAATTTTAAG